CCAACGCAACCGTGACAAGAGCATGCGGGGGCTTCCATCCTGCGATATCCTGTTTGCGTTCAGGGCTTGAAAAAGTCACGAAATATTATCCCAAGTGTTCACTCAAGTCGATAACTCATCAGCAGAAGTCGATTATAGACGCAAAACATTACAAATTTCTCTTGGGTAGGAGTTTGTTTTTTTTTTAAGTCCCCGAAGACCAGAATAGAGTGTGACGTAACAATCGAACAAATATATGTTATGAATGTTTGCAATTATTAAAATCGGCACACCTGATAATTTGGTGGCTGAAAGTAGACTAAACTTTACGCCTGCTGGAACCCAATGTCGAAGTATTGATAACTTTGGGTGAATCTGATCAAGGTGCAGGCAGTCAGATTGTAAGCTGTGCGTGTCGTCGTATTTCATAACGATGACAGCAGTGTGCATTAAACCCTGTGAATCAGTGCAGAAATCAATTAATTTAACATGTTACTAATTACGACGAGGGCGGTCCAGTGGTTAACGCGTTGACCTCACAGTGCAGAGGTCCCGGATTCAATTCCAGCTCCAGCCTTCCTGTGTGGAGTTTGCATGTTCTCCCCGGGCCTGCGTGGGTTTTCTCCGGGTACTCCGGTTTCCTCACACATTCCAAAAACATGCACGGCAGGCTGATTGAACACTCTAAATTGTCCCTAGGTGTGAGTGTGAGCGCGGAAGGTGGTCCGTCTCTGTGTGCCCTGCGATTGGCTGGCAACCGGTTCAGGGTGTCCCCTGCCTACTGCCCCAAGAGAGCTGGGATCGGCTCCAGCACCCCCCGCGACCCTTGTGAGGATAAAGCGAATCAGGAAAATTAATGAATGAATGAATAATTACGACGATTGGCGCACCTCTCATTAAAAGGAATGAGAGGAGATGCTTTCATTGGCAGTGAAACAAGTCAGCTGTATTCACAACCACTTTGGCAAAGACGCGTTTTTTTTTTTTGTTGTTGTTTTTTAAATGCGCAATGCTGCTCCAACCTGCACACAGCCCTGTGAAAATACCAAAACTTAGTCTAACCTGCCCCTGCTCAGATTTGCATTGCACATTGTGCCAGACTTGAACCAGCCATGAAAATAGAGCTCTTACAGCCCTATTTTCGTGGCGGGCGCTAGTCTTGCGCAAAGTGTGGTCTAACCGTGTTCATGGGTGGAGTTTTCTTTCTTCTGGTATTCTGCCAGACGTTGCGCCAGTAAAGTGTAACAAAGCATTTGCACCTTTGTACGCCAATGTGGGATGGAACATCGTGTTTCGTCCCACGCTGGTTTTGTATTTATGAATTAAATACCATGACGTCCAACACGTCAGCAGAACAGAAAATTTGTCGGGGTCTGTTCCATTCAGAAACAAGGCACCGGTAATCAAAACAATATGTCTTGCCTTTGGCAGAAGTAAGGACACTAATTGCTCACCAGTCCTCATTCAGCCACAAAGTTAGTGCTTGAAGCAATTTTGAATACATTAGAGCAGTTTACTAAAATGCAAACAGGCATCAGGTGGCCTAAAAGAGTCAAACAGGCTCGATATTGGACCGGTGGATGCAGGGAGTGCTGCAGTTCTGACAACAGATGTGAAGACAAGATTGTCCCAGTATGAGTCAAGGAATGCTGGGGGTGGTTTTTCATCCCGATTAGAAAAAAGAAATATGAAGCTAATAGGTCGCTAATTGCGAAACACAAACAGGATATGTGCAAATTACAAGAGGATGTTGCTACTCGGAGGGATAAAAAAACAACAACAAAAAAAAAAAACGCACGTTTGACTATAACTGCAGTTCTCACAATCAAGTCATGATGAGAGCTTACCAGAACAAAAACATACTACAATCTAGAGTGACGTGTCCGAATGTTTTTCTCTCAGCGCTGCATCCAAAAATGGAAGAATTATAGATCCACTTTGAAATTCTTTGACTTTAATTTATGAGAAATGCCTAAACCAATCAATCAAGCGACATTGTTTACATATCATAGTTGATGCTGCATTACAGCATTCTGTTACAAGTAATAAGACAAATACTTTAGAATTTTCCAGGATTTTGTGGCACATCCCAGCCTTGTACCCCACTGAAATCGATCCGCCCTTCCTCCGAGCACATTTCCACATTCAAATCCCACATGCAAATTTCCCCATTATGCGACTAATAAGGTTATTTTATCCTATTCAGAACCAAAACAAGAGAGACGTGCAGTAAGAATAGGTCACAATTTTTAAAGCAGTTACTTGAGGATTATTAATGTAATATCATGTAAATCCCAAATCATACCTTGTCATGGAGCAGAAAGCAGGGAAAACCATTTTTGGTTCTGAAACAAAATTAACTTTATTAACTTTTACCAAAAGAAATATTGTTGCTATTTTGTAACAGTGCAGCAGCGACTAATTTTATATATTTTTTTATGATTAATAAACCTTATTACACTAAAAAGTACATCTTTATTTCACTATTTGTTTTTATTTTTTTGTAAAATAGTTCATTTCTATGATAAAGTGAGGCAGATTATAACAAATATTTAGAATAAATTTAAATCTAATTAATAAAGAAATGATTTAATCAAACTATTTTAATTTAATTTGAACTTAATTGAAAATACTAACATTAATGGATCATTTAGGTAATTTGTATATATACACCTTTCTGTTTATATATATATATATATATATATATAATTTATTAATGAACAAAATGAACAGATTAATTCTACTTAACAAATTTTGGGAGGGGGATTAATAAATGAATGCAACAAATATTACAGGACTCTTGATAATGCAAATGTAAATGTTCAATGGGCTGGACTAAAGAATAGAGATCCAAATAAAAAGTGACAATTACATTAGTGTGCACACCAAGCTTGAGCTCACGTTTCCCATGAGGGAGAAAAGAATGAGCGGGTGAGCTCACCTTTCCTCACAATGAGCATACTCACCTGAGGCGGGGGGGCGGGGGGGGGCGGCAGAGGGAGCTCACATTCTCACCCTGAGAGGCTAAAAAGCATTTAG